TAAAATTTTTCATATCTTAGCTGCTTTCTCTATGAATTATTGAAAAGCATACTTTAGAATGCTTTTAGTATAGTGAAGTATAGTGAAGTTGTTTCATTTTTCACTAGTATAGTGAAGTTGTTTAATTTTACTTGCAATTTTTACAGTGTTTCCCTTATATGTTTTGGTAGGTATACAGAATCTAAAATTTTTATATCTTTGCAATGAATTTAATTTTTTATTCCAAAGTAGTGATGAGATGATTCCATAAATTACATGTTTCTCAAAAGCAGGTACATTGTGTATGTATTAGGAGTCACAGTTTTATTTTTATTTTTTATTTATACTAAGGTAGTTTCTTGGTGACCTTTGATGGATCTTTGACATATCTGCCTTTCATGGCTTAGGGATATTTTAGAAATACTGCTAATCTGGTAATTTGCTTCATATGAACAGTAATGAAATTATGTCAGGGTGAAGTAAATGATACTAGTTTCTCTTGGTAATAATTGATATATAATATTAGTATTTTTAAGTTGTGGGAATTAGTGTCTTTAGGGCATTAATGTTTGTCAGGGTCACTTTGGGATATCTCACCTAAAGTCATAGAAAGGCTGATATGTCCTCTTTTAGTATCTGAGCTGTAAAGGAATTTTCTGGGAGCAACTTTTAAAAATGAACTGCAGCTTCATTTTGTAACACATATTTACAGTCTTTTTCTCTGAGATACTTCTGAAACGGAGACCCCTGTGCTGTGTGGACACCACAGGATTTCACTCTCCTGGCTATCAACAAATGGAGGTTGTGGACTTTGGAACCAAAAAGGATCAAGGAAAATTTGGAATTGAGATTCAATGTGCTATTATCTCTTGAACTGGAAAGATATATGGGGGATGAGGCTGACATTTTGGGTTAATTCTCATGAGTACAGAGAAAGCTATTTGCAAGATGGAAAGAGGGAAATAGGCTTTAGAGAGGAACAGAGAAGTAATAACAAGCAGCTTCAAGGACTGAGGAAAGCAGTGTAGGCCTTGGTGTCCATAGAGCTCCTTGTTTCTGTTCCTTTGATATCCTTGGATTTACGTAATCCTACCACCTTGCAATAAACCTCCCTTTCTGGTTTAGGCTACCTTAAGTGGATTTTTGTCCTTGTTACTGTGCACACCAACTATAGAGCAACCTTCACAGCAAATGATGGCCTTGGATGCATTCCCAGGGCTGTGGTCAGAAATATCTGAAGCATCTGAAGGGGTTCTTTACAGGGAACATGTTTGAATAAAGGCCAGACCTAACTGGGTCTATTAACTCTAACAACTTGCTACTACCACATTGCACTTATGGTCCTGTGTGTTTCAAGTAGGAATAATAAGAAATCTTTGTATAGATTGAATTCAATGCCAAATAGGTTTAATGAGACTTAAAGAAACCAAATCAACTAACAGAAAACATTGTGAAAATGACATGACAAAATCCATTAAAACATATGTTTTTTCTGCACAGTGTACTCTGATGACTTAGTGGCTTCTATTTTTTCATTAGTTTTGTACTTCTAATCCACAGAAGTAAATGTTCAGAATCCAGAATATATTAGCATCGTAGCACTTTTCTGAGTAAAAAGGCATTTTTGGTCCTGATAAAAGGAAAAGAAGTGTATATTAATGACTGGTTACTTTTGGTGTGGGGTGTGTGTGTGTGAAGAAGTGTCACAGTTTCCAAACTAGATGTGGACTGATTCAAGTTCTCTCTCTCTCCCTCACCCCTCTCTCTTTCTTTCTGTTTCTGTCTTTCTGTCTCTGTCTCTGTCTCTCTTCTGTCTGCCAATCAGTGAAGATAAAAATCACTCAATTCAGAGATCTGGAAAAGTGCTGTTAGGTTTAGTTACTGAGTAGGCACATTTATTTGGTGTAGTGCCCAGAAATTAAGTGTTGGAGCTGCAGAATAGAATAGATTCTATTAGCACTTTTTTTTTACTTAGCCATTCAGGCATTCAGTTGAATATGTCTGGAGTTTATTCTAGACACACCCTTGAAAGGCAATATTCTATAAAATTTAAAAGCAGAAGATACAGTGCTGAAATACTTGGGTGTGGTTCCCCCACCCCACCTCTCTCTCCTTCAATTTCTTCATCCATAAAGTAAGACTAAGAAAACTTTTAATACAACATTTCTGTGAGAAGCAACTGAGTTAATATATTTAAAGCACATGAAACAGTGCTAAAGAAGTGTTAGCCATGGTAAACATCTCTCATATGATTGGTGGCTTCTACAAACATGCCCAATGTAGTCTGATCGTTCCACCAGTGCTCACCGAAGTGCACAATAAGGAGAGTACTCACCTGGAATCTCTTCAGCCACATATGTGGGAAGCCCCTGGCACATGCCAGCAATGTTTTTTCCAAATTTGTTCAGATCATCAACTGGGTTAGAGTTGACAGAGTACCTCAGAGACTTTGGAGGGAGGCCTCCGGGCCCCTCACCCTGAAGCTGAATGTGGAGAAGACACATGGAAGAGAAGAAAGAGAGAGAATGAATTCCAAGCCTAGTGGTTTGCTTATTTGAAGGAAGACAAGGCCAAAATAGGGTGATGGCTTGGCTGCATATTTTTCATAAACAAAATGAAAGAAGACTCAATTCTAGCTCTGTGTATGTCAATACTTTTAAGTGTCCCAAGAGAGTCAGCTCCTCATAAAACCAAAAGTCTGATTTATTCTTAATTTGTTTTGGAACTTGGACCTCATTTGATCATCTTAAATTCTTGGATTGGGCTACGTGATAATCAAATTGTCAGAATATAGTTTATTGCTTTTGCCTGGTCAGTCAAAGTTATTCATTTATCAACTAGAGGAATATGAACTCAAGAAAACATTTCCAAAAAACCGTTGACCCCTGTTCTCATGTATCTCAACTAATGGTTGCTAGGTAAAATACAAGAAACCCCGCTGCATTTAAATTTCAAATAAACAACAAATTATTTTTTACTTATTCTTCCCTTGTGGTCAAGTGGGGATGACGTGTTCATTGACCTCCTCTCGCCAAAAATAGAGACCTTCGTTTTTACCTTATTCTCCTTGACTAAAGCATCGAGGGCTTGAAGAGAGGGCATGACATCATTGTTCATTTTATGCACTATGCATGACTTCTTGGCAAAGAGTCTGGTAGCAGCAAAGCCCTAGAAGAGAAGACAGTAGATAGTGAGGAATATGCTCTCCGAGGAGCTTCTCTTATCACAAGTCAGTTTCATCCACAGAAGCAAATGGAACTGTGAGATCAAGAGTTGGGATGAAATCCCTTGGTTTGGCATTGTTTTAAAATCATATCTGTTGCTAACATTTCTAAGGACAGGGACAGACTGCAAGCTCTTTGAGGGTCTGAGGGAGAGAGAAAAGGAGGGAGTGAGAGAGAGAATCAAATTCATAGCTTTATTCTCAGTTCTAGCATTGTAAGAGTTAGTCTCCTTATGCATGTTTTACTGAAATAAACCTTAGAAAGTTACCATATATTAGTCTCCTCTGATCCTCACATTCCAAGGAGGCAAAGTGAAATTAGTTTCATAATTTTTCAGATAATGGAACTGAAACAATAAAGAGCTTATTTTTTTAAAGTGTAAAATTGGTTAAAAATTGGTTAAATACAGAGCTAGTAATTCCAGGCTTGGGTCTCCTACCTAGTGTCAAATGTTTTGTTTTCCCTTCTCTTACTAATAAATACTATAATTTGCATTTCCTTTGGTATTTTGAGTTATAGGTGAAATGTCAATTTCTGTTATTTTAGAAGGAAATTGGAGACAAAGTAAGACAGATTATGCTTTTGCAGTGGTAATATTATATAGGGCTTTCTTTCACCATCATTGAGGCTACCTGCAGGAAAGACAAAGGCTGTTCATATTTGTCTAATATCTCTATAATTCCTTGCACATACTGATTCTTAATAACTGTTGACTGGCTTGCATTTAACTGATTACGCCATACTTATTAGTAGCAATTAATTCTATGTGGGGAGTAAACTTCAGTGAGCAAAATGCTTTCTTTTACTTTTAACTATTATGCTTATGTGGAATTAGATTTTATTTTTAATTTTTTATGGTTAGCTATCATATTCTTCACTCGTTTAAAAACAGACACTATTTTTTAAAGAGTGGAAATTGCATGTTGGCTACGTACATTTTCATAATCCCAGAGGGAGTTCCAGGAGTCCCATCCATTGTTGTTATCAACATTGGCCACTTTGTGTTGGTTATTGATGCTCACAGACTGCTGCCCACTTCCAGCAACATTGTTGTCATCATTGACATTGATATTCTGAAGTCATTAAGAAATCAAGAATGATTTACTATCACGTTTCTTTTCAAATTTATTTGCTAACAAACTCTAAAAAGTGAGACTTACATATTCAGCAAAACCAGGAGCTATGAAGAGCCCAAGAAGTCCGATAAAGAGCATCTGAAATCACAAATAACAATGCCCTACTGTTACATGGCACAACGATGCCCTCTTCTTCTTTCCTCTAACCACACTTATGAAATTCACTCATTTTATCAGTTTGTTGAGTGATCTGTTTTCTTCTCTTACCTTGAATTTTCAACCCTAGAAAGTTTTAAAGAGAATATAGAATTATTGATTCATTATAAATCATTTCATTTTGCATGTAAGCCTTATCAAAAGCTGATGGAGAATATATTTTAAAATAAATAGCACACATGGTAAGAAAATGGGTGCACATTCTGAAAAAAATCACATCTGACAATGATGCAAATTAATTTTCCTATTTGATCTGGGATGACATCCTCCTAACAGTAGAAATGTTATTTCTCTCATAGTTGAAATAATTTCTCTTTTTGCGTTAGTTTCAGAAGGACTTAAAAATTAGTCAGCTAAAAAGTCAGAAGGAGAAGACATTTTAGACAATATTTAGTACAATGTTATCCTTTTACTTTCTTTTCTTCTTTTTTTTTTTTTTTTTTTGGTACCAGAAATTGAACTCAGGGCCTTACAGTTGCCAGGCAGGCACTGTGCCATTGAGCACCATCCCTGGCCCTGTAAGTTTTTTACTGACTAGGAAACTGAACTTTAGAGGTTAAGTGATTTGGCGAGAGTCACATCTTCCTGTTCCCTGCAAAACCAGGAGAGCAACCAGATCTTTTAGCTCCTATTTGGAGCCCTCCCTTCTTTTTGAAAACATCTTACTGCTGTTAGGAGGACTTATTCCTAGATAATTATTTTACATTTGAAACTCCATTACAAAGCAGAGTCAGCTGTAGATATTGCAAGATGTAGGATGTTGAAACGTGAAAATAATCATCTGATGGTAACACCTTTGCATCTTGTCATTAAAAAAAGAAACTCTAATTCTAGCAGCCCTAGCAGATTATGGGGTCCACCCCTGGAGTGTTGGGCCTCTGCCTGCACCTACAGTTCAGAGGCGGCAGCAGCTGTACACTGGGGAGGCTTTCCAAAAGGAGCTCCGCAGACAGGGCCCGAGGCAAACCTTTCTTACCTGTTTCATAGCAAAGTCTCTGACAGAAAAATCTCTTACACACATGTTGTGATGCCTTTATATTTGGCCTGAATATGATCAAGATTTTTGGTAAAAAGAGGAATTCAAAAATAAGAAAAGATCAGGTACATTTTAGGGCTTAGGGACTCTTGCCCCGTATGGACACCCGAATCAAGTGACATGGAAAGTCATCTTATTAAATCTGGCTCAGTGTAAGCTGCTCAGATGTCTGTCTAATCCCAGTGGGATACCCTTCTGTATAGAGATGCTTATAAATGTCAAATTCCATCAAAAATAAAGAGAAGATTTTTTTCAAACTTGTCCATTATGGACACTGGCATAATAAGCAGTACCTCAGAATACTAAGAGTTTCTGCCTATGTGATCGTAAGTTCAAAGTGAAAAAAACACTTACTGAGAACTTCATGTCTTCAGGAATGCAGAGGAGTAGAGGAGCAGGCGCGCATGGACCCAGATGAGCAGACTTCTCATATTTGTACTTGTCCAGCTTTACTAAAACAGGTCTGCTCAGGTGGAGTCAAAGCCTTATCTTCCTTCCCTTCCTTGATCTGGGCCATGCGCCAGGAAGCTTTCCCATGCCTGGCTAGCAAGGCACTTTGACAGGGTGCTGATCTGAGTCACCACTCAGTGTAGTTGAATGTATCACAGCAGACTCAGCATGAGGCGTGATAACTTCTGGTCCAATTGAGGCTGTGGGTGTGGGTATTTGATACATTGACATTGCCCAGATTCAGAAAGAGAATAATCCCTAAAACCAAACAAGCACCCAGGTGAAAAACTGTGTGTGTATCTCCCCTTCCAGTTATCAGCTTTATAGGAATGTGGAAACAATTTCCTCTTCTTACCTTACCCGATCCCATTGTAATAGTTTTACTTAGCCTAAAGATGCTTTCTGAGTTACTCTCACCAAATCTCTCCTGTTTTCTGCATTCCTGAGGCCTCTCAATGATAACACCACATATCTGGTTAGAAAAACGGGGTACAGTTGTCAGCAACTTCTTCCCACCCCAACATCCAGGTTAGTTATCCAAGGCTAGTTACATCTCAGGAGTGCCCTTCTGCTAGGGCCTGGCCACGGCTCCCTCGCTGGACTCTCCACAAGGATGTAGCTGATCACTCTGGTCACAGACAGGGCTCTGACATTTCAAAGCATTATCTCTAAAATCATCTTTCTAAAGTACGTTATGTAAATAAATGCAACTTGACTGTTTTTAGAAACTTTCACCAGCAGCCCTCAACATAAAGTTCAAGTTCACTGGAATGGAACCCAGAGTCCTTTGTAATAAATAAGCTTTGCAGCTTCCCTATCAGTTCTGTTCTTTATGCCACACACTTATGTTGCTGCTACTCCAGAGTTCCCATATGCCTGGAATATCCATGCATCCAGGCCTCTGTGCCTTTGCACACATGCTTTGTTCTGGTCCGGGAGGGCTGCTCCTTTGCCCCTTTTTAATTGGCAAATTGCTATTCATGTTTCAAAGTCTGGTTCAGATACTGCTACATCCAACACTTCTCCATTTCCCAGGCAAACACCCCAATTGAAGGTATAAAAACTGTTTCTATTTGGATCTAGGCTATTTAATTTCCAGAAATTGCATTAAAATCATAAAATTTTCATCAGAGACAGAGTAGAAGCTGTCACTTGGGACAAATAAATAAAATTTGCTAAAGAAGAGAACTTTATCTTATTAATTGTTTATCTATGAATTATCCCTTTGGAAACCTCCTTGTGTGCACAGTTGTGCTGCTGTGATAGACTGGACTCTAAATAAGAAGAGGTTACATGGTTGTAAAGCGTGGCTTAGTATCAACATTGTTTTTAAAATAGAGTCTTGATATGTAGCCCAAGCTGGCCTCAGACTCGTGATCTTCCTGCCTCAGCTTCCCCACTTTCTGCATTAAAGTCATGTGTTCCACTCCTGACAGTATCAATATCTCTTCCAGAATGTTGTCATGAGTGAAACAGAGGCAGCTGCAGTAAGATACTGTTTGCATTTTTAATGCATCCATAGATACCTTTCAAATTCACTCTTTGGGTGCAAGAGGACAATAAGCCTGGAGTCGTGGGCTGGCAACGTGAAGCAGTCTTCATCTGCCTTAGGAAATATGTCAGCACTACAAGCCACAGAGTGGACAGCACAGCCTCCACCTTTAGACTCAGCCTCTGGTGGTCATGGCAGTGTACTTGTGCAATGCTCAGCACATATTCATATATCAAACCTTACTGGAGAGGTTGGTATGTTCTATGTGCAGTGGATACATGAAATGCAGTTTGGTAGATGTTTCACAACAGAGATGGCAGAGAGAAAGACAGGCAGGCAGACAGACATGAGTTAGTTCAGGGTTTCCCTCTTAGAGATGGACAATTCGCATCCACGTACCAAACATGCTGAGAAATCTACAGAGGAGAAATCATGCCACATTGTGCCACCTAGATTCTTGTAAAGTTAACTGATGACAAAGCACGGTTATTTAACATTTGTTACCATCCTTAAGGACACTTTAATCTGCCTCTGTGGGTGGAGCTTGGATCTGAACCCTCCATTTCTTTTTTGGTGGGGGGTACCAGGTATTGAACTTGGGCCCTTGTGCTTGTGAGGCAGGCACTGGAACCACTGAGCTAAATCCCGGCCCAGGAGCTTGGATCTGAAAGTTCATTTGGGGACCTATTGTTTTGAATTAGGAGCCAAGAAATCTAATCTATTTTTCCTTCCCTCAGTGAGTGACTTTTTCCCTTTTAGGCTTTGGATTTTTTATGGATGAAAAAGAGAAGAAATTCCTCCTTATTCAACATTGTTATTTCTAGAGTTCAATCCTGGTCTCATCCAACGCCAAAAGCATAAGCGAGTCTCTTGCGCCTTCGTTCCCTGAGAACTAAGTTTGATTGGTTCCATGCCCTATCATGCTAGGAAGACAGAGCAGGTCAATGTTTTTTTGTCACCTCCATAGGTGCTAGATTATATTGACATACGTGGATGCTCACTAGGTCCCTTTAACATGTTTGAATTGTGTAAAAGGAGATGATTAGTCTAGAGGATACAAAGTGCACTGTATTCATCGTTTCTGGCTTTCAGTGCCAGGTGGAGATGTGCGGCCCTGCACCGGTGTCGTGACACATGCAGGGATCTCAGGTGATAGTGGGGGCCAGTGGGGGCCAAGCCAGCCCATAGGTAAATAGAGTTTGCCCTGCCCACAGAGGTTAAAGCTGGGCTATGTCAAAACCAGCGACTATCACCATTTTATCTCATAGTGCACACATACACCCAAGGCTTCATTTACATCACACCCTGTTGTATCAAGCTGAGTGAAATGCATTCCATGTACAGTGTGTCCATAGCATGGATCTGGAGGGAAATTTAGAGCTTTCCCACAAAAAGCACAGACTTTTCACATTCTTTTTTTACCCCACTGAGTGCAAAGGAATGTTTACCTGCAGGACACAGCTCCATCTTCAGTATTCCCATCTCACGTTTCCTTTGTTGTCCAGGCCTGCTACTGGACTGTCTTAGCAGACACTGACACTTATGCAGCCCATAGCAAACTCATCTTACCCTGAATTGCTGTCTTATTTGCAGATGTTTAGGGCTTCGTTGGTTTTAGCTGCTTAGTCTTTATGGTATATTTGTGTGGTTGCAGAAGACCCTGTCTCAGTCTCCCTGCTTTTACTGTTCATTTCTTAATTAGCCTATGCCTCAATTTGATGGCTTTTGTTATGTCCCTAAGTCAGGTGGTTCACTGTGAGGTCTGAACCCATTTTGTTTATCGTTTCTGGGAAAACTTCTGCTCCTTTCTGTGTCTTTGTTTACTCAACTGTAACCGAGACTCTATTAATAGCTCCTGTGACTACAGCCCTGGCGCTTGTAATAATGGCATATTGAAAAATACGATTGTTTAAATGTTAAAAAGTTATTCTAGTAAAAGACACAGCGTCA